CCAAGAAAGCAAAGGTTTGACTATTGCATTTAAAGTCAATGCATACAAAACTTGTACATCATGCTTTATGAGTTGTAATTAAGAGATTTTTGAAATTATCACATAAAATGGTTGTACCTTGTGCTTAAAGTCTTGTACTTAAGACTTTGTCTTAAATGCTTATTAATGTAGTATAGATATATATATATACACATACACATTGTTATAATCGGGTTTCAAACAACCTGAGTTGAGGTAACTTATACATGATTATTATGTGAATTACGTGAACTATGCATGTTTAATTTAGAAATGCATGAATCAGGTATGCATGTGAAAATAATACYGTGCATACATATGAGAAAACAATATGTATATGTGAATATGATAATATGCATACATGGAAAGATGTGAAAGTGCATGTGCGAGTAAATGATCTTATGTGAAGTTTATTATTTTAAAAGGAATCTTTGCGGTTAAGAAAAGGAAATTTTATAACATAGTTTCCACCGCCCGAAGAGTTTTATTTTAATAAAACTTATCACCGCCTTTGTTAGAAGTATATATGTAAAAGAGGAAAAGATAAGATCTTATCTTATCTTTATTTTGAAAAAGAAACCTTTTGAGAGGAAGAAAGTGTGTGTGGCGGTGGAAGCGTTATTGAGAAAGATTCTGCACAAAAAGTGATTTAAAGATTCTGTAATATTTGAAGATTTACTGTGTGCTTATAATCTGCAGAATCTATGCTTATTAAGGTGAGTTTTTTTTAAAACTACCGTTGATTATAAACTGTGAGTTTTAATCTGTTGTTTGATTTTATAAACTGTTGGGTTTTGGTAGTCTGAAATTTAGAAAGAGTTTGGTAAAACTGTTTCTAAACAGTTTAAAAGAAATGTTTTATGATTTTGAAATTTGAGACTGTTTTGGAAAGATTAAAGCATAAACTATGCTTTAAAAACAGTTTTAGGAATGATATCTTGTTTTGAGGATTTAAAGAGAATTATATGATTTGAGAAATCATTTACAGAACAGATTGTTCTGAGGCTTAAAAGGTTTTGAATATAAACCTATTTTAAGACTATGATTGGTTAAAACTATGGACGAGGTTCACTCTGACGTATATGACTTTGTTCCGTCATTGGATGTAATAGTCTATAGATTTTGGTTAAAACTATGAACGAGGTTCACTCTGACAGAAATGACTGCAACATGTCATTGGATGAAATAGTTCATAAGAATTTCAGGGGTAATAAGGGTGGTGGTTGTGTGTGATGGATATAGTTGTTGCTATTAAGGGGAATTTTGGATGTAATAAGGATGGTCGTTGTGTGTGCATGGTATAACTATTGCTATTATATCTTTTAAGATTACAACAGATTGGAGTTCTCACTTCTTGGTGATTTGAGDATTYAKAKATGTTGTTCTTATTAGAAATAATAGTATTGATGTTATGGTTACGGGAAAAATATAGCCTATGGTCATTGGTTTTGGTAAAAGTATTTTGGATGTAGAGGAACCAGAGATGCTCTGGTTGTTCCTTGAAAGAAACCAGAGGGGATCTGGTTGGTCCTCACTGTAGAACCAGAGGGTTCTGAATATTGATTTAAGAAATGGGCAAGTTCTTACTAAAAGAACTAGTTGGACCAGAGGCTCTGTATCTATAGATAAGAGCTTATGTGTCAAAATCATGTTTTTAAGAAGTTTTTAAAGGATTTTTATACTTAGAATCTTTTAATGAAAAACAGACCAGAGGGGCTTTGGTTGGCTTACACGTTGAACCAGAGGCTCTGGTTGGTCTTGACTTTTAAACCAGAAGCTATGGTTAGTACAACCAGAAGCTCTGGTTATACATGAACTCTTTTAATCATTTTTGGTTATGGAAAAAGCTATTTTATTACTTACAAAGTTAGTCAAGGAACATTATGTGAAGTTACATGAGCAAAAGGCTCTGGTTAGTACAACCAGAGGCTCTGGTCGAGGAACCAGAGGGCTCTGGTCCTCTTATGAGTTGAAACATTTTCTAAGTGTATTCTTTGAAACCAAAGGTCCGATGGACTCAAACAGAATGTGGTTTTATCCTTCATTATAAGAAATGGTTTTAATATTTTGGTGATCTTCACCCTGCATTACATAAAAAAGGAACCTCACTAGACATTCATGTCTAACCCTCATTTTTGTGTTTTCAAAATACGTGTGCAGGTAATAATAATAAGGGAAAGAGCATTCTGTGAATTATTTCCCTATGTGCTTAGCTGTATGAAGATCTTAATTAGCCATGTTTTGAAGTATAGATGTCAAGATACAAGAGCATGTACTTTTGGAAGTTTTGAGTTGTGCATTTTGCATTGTAGACTCTTGTATTATGGACCTTTATGTGTTTAACATGTATTCTATGTACAAAATATGTGTTATATATGCAATGTGAGATTGAGGGTGTTACACACATACATTTGACTGACTTCGGAAATGGAACATGAACCAATTGGAAGTGGTGCATAGCCAGAAATCGTTCGACGTCTATTTATTTAAATGAGAATGCCGTGACGAGCGAAAAGCCTTACTGCGTTGCGGCATAACGCAATCAAAGCTTTCAACCTTGACCGCTCCTTCAAGCTAGTCGCTAGAAAGAAGCGACGAGGCTCGCTTCTTCAATTCAAGTTCAACTTTTCCTCTGTTCGGAACAACATTCTTCCAAATCGTTTTACTCCAATCCATTCTTGGGGTCAAAAAGACACTAGTAGGTGACCACAAGATTAAAAAGAAGGGCTCATTTCAATGAAATTTTTATTTGGGGATTTCACCGGTTACTAATCCAGTCAAACAAGGCAATGGCTCTTGTGAGAACAAAGCCTAAAGTGCCATTTTGTTTGGGCCCGTGGGTACCTTCTGATTCGGGGTTTCTTACTAGTATCAACAATGAGAAAAAAAACTATCAAATGAAAAATTGGTTCATGTTTCATTCCCAAAGTCAGTCGTGTGTATGTATATATATATATATATATATACATACATCTTATAGAACAAATTTTATCAAAGTTTTAAAATAACCCATAATGCACTAAGTGAGACTATTTTATGCATTTTGTCTTACCATAATGCACTAAATGTGCATTTGGTACACTGGACTGAAAATGCAGAACTGGACAAAGATCCCTACTCAATGTTTGGCTTGACTTTTATGCGGAACAAACATGAACATAGTGGAACAAAATGGAACAGACCTGTTCCACAACTACCCTATGGAACATGGTGGAACAAGATGAAACAAACTTATATTTTACCAATATAACCTCAAAATAAAACTTAATTTTTTTTTTCTAAAACATCAAATAGGTCCCCTTTTTACATGTTGTTCATTCTTTAAATTTTAATTTATTTATTGTATTTTATGTCTCTTAAACTTTCATTTTAGTGTCCTCAAAATGTTATTTTTATACGGTTTCTATATTTTTATTAATTTATGTAAATTATTATATATTAATAATAAAAAATAATGCAGAAAAGAGATAAAAATAAAAATTGGAAACTATATAAACTTTTTATTTGGTGTCATTTTAATTGTTTTGACGAAACTTTTGAATGATATATGTTGTTATAAAAAATAATTATTCTATTATAATTATTAAATTACATAAATAAATTAAAATAAATAACTCATTAGGAGTAAATTGATCATTTTACTTGTTCTGTTATGTCTAGTTTTATCTTATCAAATGTTGAACAATTATTCTGTCATGGCTGAAACCAAACACATATTAAATGCCACTCTTTTATGCATTTGGTCTTATCTATACTATATTATAAAACATTTGACAAAAACTCTTAAAAACGATTTTTATGTACGAAATACTGTTTATTAATGCATATTACTTAAAATTTAAGATTACAAGTAATTTGTGCATAAGTACAATTTATTAAAGCTCCATACTTGAATTCGTCTGACTAACTGCATATAAGCATAATCAAATATTGGATAAACATCTTATTTTAAATATAAAAAATCTAAAATATAATTAAGATAATCATTGATAACTAAGAGAATACTTAGTTATTATCTTTATAAAAAATTATATTATAAAACCTAAATTAAATTATAATTAAAAAAATTTAGTTAAGAAAATTACACCAAAACAGAAGAACTTTTAAAAAGATTAATTTAATACTGATATCGATATTTTTTTTTCAGAACCACATAAAACCAATGTTACTTAAAATTCAAGATTACAAGTAAATTATGCATAAGTACAACTTATTAAATCTCGATGTTTGAATTCGTATAACTAACTGCGGATAAACATAATCAAATAGAAGATAAACATCTTATTTTAAAATATAAAAAATCTAAAATATAACTAGAATAATTATCGAGTTCTAACAAAATAATTAATTATTATCTTTATAAGAAAATTATATTATTAAACCAAATATAAATTACTTTGTTATTGT